GGGCCGGGCCGCGCAGCGGGCGCCCGCGCTCCCGGCGGCTCCGTCCCTCCGCAGGTGGAGCCCGTGTTCGCCCGGGAGCTGCTGCATCATGCGCAGCGCATGGGGCCGCAGCTGCTGCGCGAGGCCGCGCAGCCCTGCGCCCCCGGAGCCTCCCACCACATCGTGCACGTCCTGAGGCAGCTCTGCCAGCCCTGAGCCCTCAGCTGCAGCCGGCAGCGGGACGCAGCGGGATGCACCATGGTGGGATGCAGTGGGATGCTCCAGAGCAGGACACAGCGGGATGCAATAGAGCAGGATGCAACGGGACGCACTGCAGTGGGATGCAGCAGGATGTGCCACCCTCTCCGTGCGCCAGCCCTGCCTGGTCTGCCTGGCACATTCCAAGGGATTGGGGCCCTGCTCTGCATATTTATTCCCTGGGAGCAGCTGGAGATCCCGCCTGGGCTTTGGGTTGCCAGAGGCATCACTGCTTCATGCACTGGGGCACAGCGACCTCCCCCTTGGCGCCGCGGGGACTTACCTTGAGTAGAAATAAAGGTGTTTTGGTAGCACAGGCTCCATGCGGCATGGGATGGGGGGTCACCGCCGTCACCCCGGCACTGAGCATGGTGTCAGCACTGGTGTCTCAGCACTGGATGTCCTAGCTGGAGCTGGGCTTTCCAGCATGTTCCCAGCGGCTTCCCGGCACCCTGTGCCAGCAGGGAGGGCAGCAGGATCCACCCACCATGCCCAGACCGTCACGCACTGCTGGCACCGTGGGCAGCACCGCACTGGTGGGCACCATCCCATGCTCCGCTCCTGACTGGGATTTGCTGGCAGCGGCGAGGGCTGGCGGCTGCTCTGCCCTGTGGCAGCCCCTCCAGCTATCTGCCCTGTGGCAGCCCATCCCACTGTCCCCGTGCCTCGGTTTCCCCTGGTACAAGGTGGCTCCAGGGAGGTGGTTCATGCGGCATCAGGACAGGGATGATCCTGGGTTGGGGAGCACTGTGCAGGGCCCCTGTGTAGTGCAAGGACCAGGCGTGGGGCAGGATCCGCACGATGTGTGGGGCCGACA